TATTTAAAAAAAAAATAGAAAAGGAATAGAGTCTAATTTTTTTTTTTTTTTTTTTTTTGGGGTTAGTCTTACTTTAAAATAATTAGCAACGTGTAAAAAAGAAAATTGAATTATTATTATTATTATTATTATTATTATTATTATTATTATTATTATTATTATTCACTTGTTAAATTAAAAAATTATGTAAATAATAATGACGATGATGATGATGATGAAAGTTTAAGTTATTATTATTATTTTGTTGTTATTTGAATGAATTGATCAACATTTCGAATAGCTTTAAAAAAATTTTAAAAAGATTAAATCGTTTTTATTATTATTATTATTATTTTAAAAAATATTAGGGGATGCTACGACCGTGTTATATCCCGTTTAAATAATAATAATGATGATGATGATGATGATGATTGGGGTGTGATTTTATTTTTTTATTTTAATTTTTTTTGAACGCAGTTGGTAATTGTTTCATCGTTAATTTATTGTTGAGTTTTATAAGGAAAGAAAAAAAAAGAATCAAAAATAAATAATAATAATAATAATGATAAAACTATGTAATTATAAATAATAATAATAATAATAATAATATGATTTTTTTTATTGTTTTAAGATGGTTTTCATTTTGCTTTGATGAATCGTTTGCTCATAATTTGTATGTATGTGGAAGGGTAGATATAAAAAAAAAATTGTTAATTTAATTTTTAATTTTAATTTAATTTAAATTTTTTTTTTCTTCTCTCTTCTTTTCTTCTCTTTTCTCCTTCTTCTCACATTAGTTTTAAATAATAGAAAATGTTGTTGTCGTTTATATTATTATTATTATTATTATTTTCTTATCAATCTTTAAAAATGTTTTGTTTTTGTTTTTATTTTTTTCATATCCGGAAAATATCCTTTTAAAATCCAAAAAATTTTTTTTTGAAATTGTGTTAAATCTGGTGATATCTCTAATATCCCCGGAAAATCCCCTTTGAAAAGTAGGGATTCATCGATTGATTAAATTTTTATTAAATTGTTATTTTATTGGGGGTTACATAAACATAAATAATTTTTTTTTTTTTTTAAACCGGTCCGTAGATTTTTTTTTTTTTGAAAAATTAAAACGAAACCTTTTTTTTTTTTCCGGGGGTTTTCAGAACTTGAACCTTGACACACTTACATAAAACTGGAAAATATAAAAAAAAAAAAAAAAAAAAAAAACGTCACGAAACTAATTTTGCAAAAAAAAAAAAAAAATTTTTTTTCTATTTATTTACAAATAATTTTTTTCTCATTTACTAATAACATCAATTTTTTTTGTTTTTTTTTTTTTTTGTTATTATTTAACCGATTATTAATGTATTTTCTATACGCTAATGATATTATTTGTAACACGAATTATATTATATTTAGGTCATCAAAGATTGAAATTTAATTTTATTTATTATTAAAAATAAATAAAATTTGAGTTAATCTATATAAATAAATAACGTTCGAATAGTTTTGGGGGTAATAACCCAGTAAAAATAATTTTTTTCCGAACTTTTTAAATCTTTTTTTAATAAATTAAAAACATTTTGAATAATAATAAAATTCAATCGTGTATCTGCATGTTTAGAAAATTATTTAAACATCACACGATTAAGTTTTATTTTTATAAATTTAACCTGATTTTTTTTGCACCAAAAAAAAAAAAAATTCGATAAATGTGTAGTAAAAAGAGGCCAAAAAAAAATTTTCCAAAAATTTATTACCTAATTAAATATTTAATCGTTTGAGGGTTATCCCATTAAATTCATGAATTTTTAATAAATAAAATGACCATTTGTTAAAAGGTAGTAATTTTCATCCAAAATGTGTCTCCCCGACATTTATTATGAGAGGAAGTTGAAATCAAATACTTGAACTGATACGATTAAAATTACATACTAAAATATTTTTATTATTATTAATATTTATGTAATTTAAAATTTCTAAATCGTTTTTATTAATAATTTACGTAATTATAAATTTAATTTTAACATAACGTATTTAAAAAAAAAAAAAAAATTAATTTGATAATAATAAAAACGTTTTTGTTTTTGTTGTTATTGTTTATAATAGGATCTGGGCGATTAAGAAGCTATTTCCGGTTTGCGTATTTATCATCTTGGAAAAGTATAACCGATGATGACCGAACTGGTCCGAAGTTAAATTTTCATACGACTCGACAATTTTCGGATTTAGTTGGTAAACCTCGGCGACTGACGAACGTTGACGGTTGACGGTTGGCGGTTATCCAGTTCTCCTTTTTTTTTTTTTTTTTTTTTTATACGGATGCAAGAGGATTAATAATTAATCTTTTTTAAAATCATCTCGAAAAATGTAGCATTTTCGGGTAAATAAAAATATAAATTTTTATTTTAAACATATATTTATTTATATTTAAACGTTAATTTGATTCTGTGAGTTTTTTTTATAAAAATGTGGTTAAAATTATTAACGGCGTAGGAAGAGAATATGTGTGTGTGTGTGTTTCGTCTGAGTGAATAAAATCTTAAATATTATTATTATTATTCAAGGTTTTTGCTCCGAAAAAAATGGATAAAATAATATGTTTCATCTTAAAAGTGCTTTATTTTAATATAAAAGTGAATTTTATGACACCCCGGAGATGATCGGTGGATAATAAATCTAAGGTTTTCATTTTCAACACCCCATTATTATTATTATTATTATTATTAACGATAAAAATTATTAGGTTATGTCGAAAAACCGTTGGAAAAAATATTATTATAACGTTATATTATTTAAAAAATTCCTTCGTAGATAATTATTTAATTAAAATATCATTGTCGAGTTCGTTAAAATTAGAATAGAATTTCATAGAAAATACTAGAAGAAACCGACATGTAACGACTAACTACTACTCTAGTCAGCCACATAATTTTTCATTTTTTTTTTTATTTTTTAATTCCATTTTGAAAAAATTTATTAAAAATGCTTATATTAGTTATAATTGGGTTAGTTTTTATTGTTTCGACAATGAAACAAACAACAAACAATTTAGTAAATAATAAATTGCGTGAGTCACACTTTTCCATTTTCTAAAATGAACAAAGAAAGTATTATTACATGGCAGACTTCCCTTATATGTATATAAATGCTATTCAAAATCATTTTAATTATAAATTAAACCGTTAAAATAAAATAATAATAATGATGATGGTTTGATACAATCTATAATTTTTGTTACTTTTTATGTAATTTGTTGTGGTTGTTGTTGTTGTTGTTGTTGTTGATGATAATAATATCATTTTGTTACACTTTGAAATTTTTTTTTGGTTTTTTTTTTTTTTTTTTTGAATTTGTTTCTTTAGTACAGAAAGAAAAAGTTAATTGATTGAATGAAATTGAGGGAAATTAAACACATTATATCACTTAAATCATTTAGAACTCTTTTATTATTATTATTATTATTATTTGTAAATTACAGCTTCATAAAAGATTATTGTATCATAGTCTAGAGATAAATGGTCCAGAGTGAGATGGAGTTGTTGTTGTTGTTGTTGTTGTTCTCCTTTTCATCTATGATAAGGGTTGTTTTGTGGGGGGGGTTTGTGAAAAAAATGCTTTAAAGATTGCTAAAGATTGAAGGTAACTTTTTTCTTTTTCTTTTTGCTACCATTCAACGTAACTTTTCCCATTAAAAAAAAAAAACAGAAAACCCAAAACAAAACAAGTAGAAACAAAACATAAAAATGTTTTACGATGCGTGAAAATTAATGGGGAAAGAACTTCAAGGAAAAACTATTGAGATTAGGATTCCTTTAAAAAAAAAAAAAAAAAAAATGGGGAAAAACCGTTGAATAAATGTAATAATAATAATAATAATAATAATAATTTTTTTTTAAAAAACTATTTTCGTTCCCCTTTAACTAACTTCTTTTTTAGTACACCTGTCTATAATTTTTCAACGGTTGGTTAATATCATTATTAATACGTTTTTTTTTTTTTTTTTTTTTTAATTTAATTTAATTAAACCCAAACGCATTTTCATTACAGGTTCGAATTGTTTTTGGTTGTCGTTGTTGAGTACGAGGCATTTATTAAAAAAAAAAAAAATTTTGTGTCATCGATTTACGACGACGAATGTCGTCATATTTAAATCGTCGTGTGACGACAACAACAACAACAACAACCAAACAAACATTTTTTTTTATTCCGCCGATTCAGCTTTTTTTAACACGCGAACTTTATTTAATAAAATAAATACAATGTAAGGGATTTAAAAGGGGACGATGACACGAGGAGATGGGAGGCGGGGGGATTGGTTGGGGGGGTTAAAAGAAAATATTCTCTCGTGAGATTGTGATGCTGTAAGAAAAGAGATCGATGATGATGATGATAATAAAAGGCGGCATCATGGGGGAAAAGAATATAAGGGAGAACGAATCGTATTTTTTTTTTTTTTTTATTATTTCGTTCGTGTTTTAACAACAAAATGGAGGGTGATGGTTGTTTTATAAATAATAATAATAATAATAATATTTTTCATATCGATATTGGCATTTTGTTTTAAGGAATGATTTTTTTTTTTTTTAACGGTGATTTGAAGTTCTTTCATAATTATATATATGTGAGTAACTGAAGGTCGATAATATGATTTTTTTTTAGTTAGGTCACGGTTAGTCTATTACCGAAATATTTCGACCAATCAGAACGATGGATATTTTGGACCACAAATGATGAAAAAAAAAAAAAAACAAGTCGGCCTTCGTTTGATTTTATTGTTAGAAAAAAAAATAAAATATCAAAATTCCACGTTTTTTATTTATTTATTTATTAAGTTATTATAAATAATATAAATAAATTTGAATCCTATGTAAATTTTTTATTGATTTTATTATTATTATTATTTTTTTTTTTTCAGGCGTTTATCATCTTGAAATTGTCGTATAAGAATCCGAATCGATTTTTTTTTTTTTTTGGTTGCGCCCATCTATACGAGAAGAAATTTTTAAAAGAAAATACGGAAAACTATGGGAAATTTATGCTGCGGACAAGATGACGACAAAAGGGTAAAGCAATTTTTTTTTTTTTTTTTTGGGGGGAGGGGGGGCGGGGTTTAAGAACACTATTCACTTACTCCCCTTTTAAATAAAATTTTTATTTCAGAACGAAATCGGTAAAATAACGGAAGAAGAAGGTATTGCTCCATCGAGAAATCGAAGATGTACGGATACAATATGTCTGGTGACAATGCCCCTATTTTTACTTTCAGTGGTAAATGAATGAATAAAAAAAAAAAAAAAAAAATTTTTATTTTTTCCGGAAAATGTACATTTTTTTAATTATTATTATTATTATTATTTGCAGTTGATGCTCGTCGGGTATTGTGCAATATTCACAGACATAGCACGAGTGACGAACGGTTATGATAATTGTGCAAATGTTTGCGGTAAAATAACGCCGCCGGATAAAAATCCAAAATATTCTTGCAAGGGTGCGGATCTCACGTCGAAACCATTGCTCCTGGTCAGAGGAACCGGGAAACACATCGTCAATCCTGTGCATTCCCGACGGGAATGCGTGAGCGATTGTTCCGTTTACAAAGGATTGTGAGAAAATAATCATATTTAAAATTATAAATCATGTAATAGATCGATTGTCGTCGTAATCGTTGTTGTTTGTTTGTTTGTTTGTCTTTCAGCCGGCAATTCATAACCAGATGCATTCCTTTTAACGACGGTGACGTTTTAAAGGGTGGCCTGGAGAGAGCGACCAATTCTTTGTCTTTCGTCGGACTCTCGGATTTTCTCGAAGAAACGTCCGAAGATTTACAACTCTGCTGGAGGGAAATGGTATACATGTGCCTGATAGCTCTCGCTTTTTCTTTTATTCTTTTGCTCCTGTTTCGTTACGTCATAGGATTCGTTATTTGGTTCGTTTTGATAGGAGTCGTAGTTACCAGTATTTTAGCCACGTGTTACTTATGGTGAGTTTTTATCAGTGGATCCTTTCCGCAAAATAAATCAAATTAAAATTTTTTTTTTTTTTTTTTTTTTTCCAGGTACATTTACAAAATAGCAAACGATCAACTTAAAGAATCAGAATTTCCAAGCGATTTCGACAGCGGAAAAGTTCATTCTTATTTAGTTTTTGCGATAACGTGCACCGTTGTGTGTCTCATAGTCATTCTCATCATTTTCGTCATGAGAAAAAGAATCAATCTTTTGGTGAGATTGTTTAAAGAAGCTGGAAAAGCCGTCAGGAAAATGCCTTTTCTTTTGTTTCAGCCATTAGTGGTAATGGAAATATATACAAAACCAAAGAAAAATCTTTTTTTTTCGAAGTAGTAAAAGTTAATCGTTTTTTTCGCAGTCTTTTTGGGTTCTCGCCATCGCCATCGGTATTTGGGTATTTTTCACGCTCGTCATTCAGGGTTCCGGTTACGTCGCTGAAAAAAGTCCGAATAATCTTTATTATAAGAAATCCTTCGCCATGAAATTCGCGAGATGGTACAATTTATTCGCGCTGTTTTGGATAGTTCAATTCGTCATCGGGTGTCAGCACATGGTCGTCGCCGGAGCCGTTTCCAAATGGTTTTTCACAAGGTGTTGTTAATAATAAGTGCGAAATCGAACGAGGTGTAAACACGTATAATAATAATAATAATAATCCATGCATTTTTCAGGGATAAAAAATCATTGGGCTCGCCGGTCATTCAATCATTTTCCAATTTGATACGTTTTCATTTGGGATCCGTTGCATTCGGATCATTTTTCATCGCATTGATACAAATGATAAGAACGATTCTTACTTTCATCGAGGAAAGATGTAAAAATTCCGAGAGCGAATTTATAAAAAAAATCGCGAGCGCCGTGGAATGTTGTCTGTCTTGTTTCGAAAGTATTTTGAAATATTTTACGAGGACTGCTTACATAGAAATCGGTGAGAATCGACTTCCGGTTAGTTTACACGTTCGAATAAATGGACTTTATAAAGTTTCTTCTTTTTTACCACAGCAATTCACGGCGTTAGTTTTTGCACGGGAGGAAAAAAAGCATTCAGGTTAATAAGTTCAAACGTATTAAGAGTCGCAACAATTAATTCAGTCGGAGATTTTATATTATTTTTAGGAAAAGTATTTGTTGTTCTATCAACGGTTTTAATTGGGATTTTAATACTCAAGGTATTTTTTCTGTAATGTAACGAATTATCGAAAGGGAGACATTTTGTTTATTTAAAATGATTTTTTACAGTCTAAAGAAGGAGTCATACACGTTTGGGTTCCCATAACGTTAGCTGGAATTTTCGCTTTTATCGTGTCGCATTGTTTCATAACAGTTTACGAAATGATTATCGATTCCATATTCGTTTGTTTTTGCGAAGATTATGAAATGAATAACGGAGCGGATAAACCTTATTTCATGAGCAAAGGATTAATGGTGAGAATTTTTTTTAATTTGTGGTATCCCACACCGACGACCTGATATGTGATAATAATGCAGGATGTAAAATTTTTTTTTCATTTTCAGGAATTTGTTCAGAATAATAACAGATCGGTTAGTTAAAATGGAAACCCTTTTCAAATATTGAATTTTCTTTGTTAGAAGAAAGCTTTTTACAATAATGAAAAACATTTTAATAATTTTTTAATATTACATCAGGGGTCATACATAAAGACTGATATTATTTTTTTTTTATATATGAAAATTTTAATAGTGCTGTATTTTATTTACCTTATATTTATATATATAAATCCCTCGATGTACTTTTTTTTCATAATAATATCCACCATTATGTTTAATTTATTTTATTCAAAGATGAATTTTATAACCAGAACAGTATTTCTTCATTAATATAAATACAATATTTAAAAAGGAAGGATTATTGTTATGTTTGATAAGTATTTTATCCCTTTTAGATATATATATATATATATGAGAAATGTATTATGCCTCGACTAAAAGGTTTTTTTGACTCTCAAAACCGTTTTTGTTTTTTGTAACATTTTTTAAAAAAATAAAATGAAATTGTTTTAATTATTTTTTTTTATTAGAATTTTTTTAGTTAATTTAATTAACAAATTATTTATCTACATAAAATAAACTAAAAATTAATTTTTTTTTTTTTTTTACAATCGTGTGTGTGCGAGTGATATCATTTTTCTTTACACGAGTAAATCGTAAAATATTTTTACACACATTTTAATAGAAATTATTAATTTTACTAGTGATATAAGTCATTATTAATTTTCTTCTGGGATTTGTGTTAAAATTCTTAATCCATGCATTTGTTTTATATCTTCTTTAAGGGTTTCATTTATTAATCTATGTTGTTTAACTGTTGACAAACCTTTAAATTCTACGCTTTCGACAAATATTTCATACATTGATCCACATCCTCCTGATATGTCTACAACATTTATTTGTTTGGCAAGAGGAAATCTCACTCTGAGAGTTTTTGTAATTTTTTCACTAGAATCTGTATTTTGTTGATTACTATATGATTTGAAAAAAATTTTTTGTGCTGTAGAAACTGCAACAGGCCAATTAATTTGATGATTACAATTATTATTATTATTCCATATTATTTTATAACTTGATAAATATTTGAACGGATTACGACGCATCATTTTCACAAAAAAAAAAAATCTTAATTTATTTTATTTTATTGTATTTTATTTTTAAAAAGAATTTTCAAAAAAAAAAATACACACGCACTTTGCAAGCAAACGTTATTTAATTTTAGTTGACATTTATTTTTTTATGTATTTACGTAATTTACAAATTTCTTAGTTAAAAAAAAAAAACTAATTAAATATTTTTTTTTTTAAATTTTAAACCGTTTCCGTATATTTAATAAAAATTTGTAATCGTTTGAATATTCAAAACTAAAATAACTAATTGGAAAAAATTTATTTTTTACTTTATCGTCGTGGTATTAGAATTTGTTACGGTTTAAATCCACGACGAATTTAAAAAGTTTCGACTATTATCCACGGTAGGAAATAATATTTTAAATAAATTTAATTTGAAACGGGCACGTTATTTAACTATTCGTTAAAAAAAATAATATTTGTAAATTTTTACTTTAGCGTTTATTTATAATAAATAAAATGCCGAAAAAAATTCTGGACGAAAATAAGTTAAAAAGGTTTTACTGTAAATCGATCTCTTCGTCAATCGGAAATATAATAAGATTTTCTACAAATGAAATATTTCGCGAAAAAATTTTTAAATTATTTAATGTGCTGGGTACTAAAAACGTAGAAAAAGAAATACAAAAGCGTCTTATTAAAATTTTAGCCGGTTCGAGAAAAAAGAAAGATGATAGGATAATGAAGAAAAGGACAGTTGGTGGTAAAAGAAAGTTTTTGAATTAATATTTAAAATAAACTTTTATAATATATAATTGGATTCAAATTTCAGATAAAAAATTTTCCACTATAGATAATTTTAGTGAATTAAATGAAACATCGCCACGTTTAAAAATTATTAATAAAGAAATAAATAACTCGATCAGAAACTTTTATTCAAGAAATTAATTGTCGAAAACATCATCGATCATTTACATCAGAGCTAGTAATTACAGATGAACATAAAATCGAATACAACGCATCACTTCCTGCCAATTTTTATAGTGCTAATTATGAATTTAAAAATTCTTTTCAAAATCAAATCATCAATGAAAATTCTAAATTGTGCATTGATTCTGCAGAAAGCATAAATTTATACAAAATGAAATTTGATAAACTGTTCGAAAACAAAAAAAATTCTTCATCGTTAGTTTTAAAAAAGTATAATTCATGTCCTTATTGATGTTTTTATGCATCGAACGAACTAATCGATACAGTTAAGTTAAGTTAAGATGAAGTATAATTTAAATAAAACAAAAAAAAATTTTTATTAAAAATTATATTTATCTATTAGAAAAAAAGTACACTAGTCTATTAACAATACATTAAATATAAAAAAAAAAAAAAAAAAAACAAATGTTTAATTTATTTACTAACATTTTTATTTGTTTTATCGTTGACAGCTTTTTCGAGTAATGCTGATGTTATTCCGACTTTTTTCAATTCATCAATCAATTCACCATTTTGATGCATTTGTAAAATAATATCGCATCCACCTACAAATTCTCCATTAATGTAAACTTGAGGAAATGTTGGCCATGATGAAAATTTTTTCATGCCTTAAACGATTGAAAAAAAAAAATCAATTTTTGGTAAAACCTTTGAAATTTATATGTTTTAATCAAAAGCAAACATTACCTTCCCTCAATTCTTCACTTTCTAAAACATTATGAGAATCATATGTAACTCCGTGCATTCTAAGAATTTGTACAACAGCATTACTGAATCCACAGCTGGGAGAACTTGGTACACCTTTCATAAAAACTACAACTTTATTATTTTTAACTAACTTATCGTAATTCGATTCGGTACAAAAATATCTGACAGGTTTTAAAACTGCATTTGTTATATTATTAGATTTTAATAAACTTTTAATTAATACTGCGTTCAACATTTTTCCAAATAAAAAACAAAAAAAATCAAAAATTTCAATAAATATTTTTTTCTGTTTTGATATTTAGTTTATTATTTCGTCGACAGAGTTCGCATTTTTTTTTTCCATTTACATCTAAAACCACGACGTATTTGCGCGCCTTTATGTTATTAATCGTTATTCATGTCACTTTAATCATTGTTTGAAGTTTTTTTTTTTTAAATAATAATGAAAAGTTTTGCATGCATAAATCTTTTTTGTTTTTTTTTTTAAAAGAAGTGTCGAAGTATACAATTCGGAATAAATTTAATATAAATAATTAATGTAACTGTAACTTAAAGGCACATATAATTCACATAATGTAAGTTATAGCATTTTCTTTAAGGAACGACCTAAGGTATTCAAATTTATTTTTAAAATAAATAATGTTTAGAATCAATTATAAAAAAGTTAAATTTAAATTTAAGTGTAAAATAAAATAAGAATAAAAGTAAGTATAATAAGTTTTTAACATTCTTTTTTTTTTTTTTTTTTTATTTAAAACTTTAATTATGTATCATGTTTCACAAGTATTATAAAAGAGATGATAATAATAATAGTTACGTTTTACAGATTTTAACACAAGATAATAGTGTAAGAAATATCGATGAATAATAATAATAATAATAAATAGTTAAATTAGGATTTAATGTAATAATTGGAAAGCGTATAATTTGCAAAAATAGTTATATAAGTTCCTCTATAACGTTTTTGTTTTTTTTTTATATAAAGAATTAAATTAATAAATAAAACAAGTTTTTACAATGCAAGGTAATATATATATATATATATATATAATTTTTTGTTTTTTACAATTTCAAATTTTTTTTTTCTCCATTTTATATAATTTAAAGATTTGACTTTGTGGTTTTCAAATACTCTTTTGAATTTTATTTAAATAATAAATCTGCTTAGAATATTGATTTGTTTTTTTTTTTTTTTTTTTTTTTTTTTTAGAGGTTATGAAAAGAATATGGTTAATTAAAAAAAAAAAAAAAAAAAAAGTTTCTACGCCTCTTTTAAGCTATTGCTAAAGCAAAAACATTAATTGAATAATCATTATTTGTAATTATTATTATTATTATTATTTTATTCGATAGTATTAAATAATTTTTTATCTTGTGTAAAATTAAGTACGTATAAATACA